GAGGGTATACTGTCTAGCCTCGCAAAATTATTTAGCGCTGATCAAGGCTTCCAGAATAAAAGACTTGGGTTTTGAGAATTTCGAAACCTTAAAAATGTCAGAATTCCAGATTTTGAAGATCTGTGATTTAGCGACCTTGAGACTGTGATTGGCACACGATTCGAAAGCCCTTGAAATGGCGGGTTTTTGAAAACCAGATTTTTCCCTAAATTCGCCATTTTACAACGCATTTAAAACATCAAGGAAAGGCTTCTTAATTTATTTTTGTCATTCAAAACTAGCAGGTTGCAATAAAAACATGGCTTTGAAGGTTGTTGCAAACACGCCGTTTCATGGGCTTTCGAATGGTGTAACTACAGGGTGAGGCATATATATCGAAGCACCTCCGGGCCATGAAATTTTGCATACTAGCAGAGAACCAAACATTTTTTGGGGATTGTGTATATTTATCATAATAATATAAGTGTTTCCTCATGCAGAGGACAAAGAAAAACGATCACCATCCGCTTTGATTTTTATTTATCATTTAGAAAAGTTTGGCCGTTTTGTCGAAAAAGTGGTGTGTTGGCACGCTGCTCCTAGAGATCGGCCTAAAGGTAGCACCGTCTCAGGATTCTCGATTATAGCTTGATTAGGACCTATTTATTTATTGCAAAAGTTGTTTAGCGGAAAACAAAGCAAATTATTTTTTTATAGTCAAAAAAGAAGCCCTGACCCAACTCAGGCCCCTTTATCGTATTTACTTAAAATTCAATACAAAATCAACGATTGAGAGAAACTTTTGTTTCAACAACTTTTTACATTATAGACGTTTGACCGAATCACGTGCCGTTGACCAAATTAGAGAACTAAACGCATAAAAGTCGCAAACTACAATTTTATGATTTTTGCTATGCATTTTGAGGACGGTTAAGTCATAATACGGAATTTCCGTCTAATAAAGATAAATAAACTACAGTCGCGACCGTTATTTGTTGTTCCTACGTCGCACCAACGTTTTTCACATGCATAGATGCCCGAATCAGGGGTTTCGAGGCCTGCCGGAATCGAGCTCCAAGGGGTTGCGTGCCAAGCCCACCCCTATAAGCCTCAAGTTTTGCTCTAAACAAAAAATTTCCAGGATTGCCAGGTTCTGTTCTTTTGGGAACTTGGAAGCAACACTAGTGGCTACATCCTAACAAAATAACACAACCCAACGAGCATTCTTAAATTTTTGAGGCCCTTCTTAAGGTGCTTCGATATATATGCCTCACCCTGGATCGTTCCGATACGATACTTCTGCGTCGAGTTAGAGGGGGTGTTTTTACTAAGACGACCTGTAAGATACGATAGAATATGAGATTCGGAGCAACGCTAATTGTAAGAGCCCCCCGCTATGAGCCCAGAACCAACTTCAGTACAACAACGCCAATATCTGTCGCCGTTTTGCTGTTGGGAAAGCCGGGCATGGCGTCGCTGAAAAGGGCGCATTCGACTTTATCGACAAAATGGCAGTCAACGCTTTTATGGCAATCTACAAAAATATGCGCGCACGATTGGTATGTATTGATGAAAAATTATATAAAATACCAGGGTTGAAAAGCCGCTTCGCGACTTTTCAACCCTGGCCCCGTCTGACCACATTTATTTTCTCCTTCACGTTGCATACTTGTCCATCATTCAGAAGACAAAAAAAATGAAAAACAACCCTTTCTGCCTCTTTATATAGGCGACGGCCCACTTCCGGTCTATGCTAATTATTCCTAACAAAGAAGTTTTCACAAAAACTTAAATTTAATATCGAAAACATATACTTTTGAAAATGCGGTTATGTGTGCAGTCATCTCAAAACCATTACGCACCCAATGGCGTATCGGACGTAGCATAAGATGCTGCCCCTATCGAGATATCCTCCGGACAGACAGACGGAAATGGATGCAAAGTGGCACACACAGACACACACACAAACACATAGACACTATTTTTTTATATCAGGTTGGAAAGAAAGTAATGGCACAAAATCTTTAAACCGCTGTAAAATCCCGCAGGAACGTCCGATTTGAAAGATTGATATATGGTTTGGTAGATCTTCGGATGCTCTATCACAAGACGACCCTCAAAGCACCCAAAAGCTGACGTACGCGAAGATACAGGCGTCAGAAGTTTCAGAGAAAATTGAGTGAAAGCTTTTAAGCGAGATATCTCTGCATACAAGCATTTGCATACGTTATTGTTTAACACCAATCGATAGCTCTTGAGGAGTAGATATCGATAGATGTTGAGATCATCAAAATCGGACATGGGATGGCCGAGATATCGGCCCTCCAAAATCAATACATTTTCTGGATTTTGGTTCGGAAGCTGAAGCAAACACAGCAGTTTTTGGCTCGCGCAGGCCAAAATGTATGGGATTTCGAGAAAAGTTCTAAGAAGTGGACCAAATTTCTAGGGCCTGGATCTCGGCCATCCCGTGTCCAATTTTGATGATCTCAACATCTATCGATATCTACTCCTCGAGAGCTATCGATTGGTGTTAAAGGTATCGTATGCAAATGCCTGTATGCAGAGATATCTCGCTTGGGAGCTTTCACTCAATTTTCTCTGAAACTTCTGACGCCTGTATCTTCGCGTACGTCAGCTTTTGGGTGCTTTGAGGGTCGTCTTGTGATAGAGCATCCGAAGATCTACCAAACCATATATCAATCTTTCAAATCGGACGTTCCTGCGGGATTTTACAGCGGTTTAAAGATTTTGTGCCATTACTTTCTTTCCAACCTGATATATAGTAGGATTTTTCAGGATTACTTGGAAGATCTCCGGGAGAATGGACGTCATGATGCATAATTTCATAATTGGCTGATACATTTTTCAAACTAATAAAATTAATTTTATAATAAAGTTTTGCGGTGCAGATGCTGATTAAAGGAGCTCCGAAATTCGGTCCACGCCCATCAGAGTTGATTTGCGGCAAATCGTTGCGTCACCGCGTCGCCTGATCTTTTACCCCAGTTTGGGCGTGAAAACGCTTGGATTTCAAAATTCTGACGATGTTTCCGTAATCCTCCCCGAATTTTGACTATTCTAAACTTTTTAATTATGAATTGATAATAGAATCCCTGAGGTCGTGAGATTGGGTGCCTCACAAGGCATTACGACATGTAATCGCCGCGCCAGCCGACTAGATTAACGCAAAATCTTCCTCCCCCGATAATGCCAAAGAACCCCCATCGATCACCAAAGGTTCATGGTTAGGTTAGTGCTGATGAGACACAGTCACAGCCATATGTGACCCACATCTTGCTCAAGGACGCCTTCTCGGGGGTGATCCAATACTTACCATTTTGGTCCGGCCGTCGGCTAGGTATCTGCATTGCCACTAGGTTTTTTTGGGTTTATTCTCGTGTCATCGGCATTTCACTTTGTCGGAATTGCGATTTTTCGAAATGTGATTTTGTTAAAAATTCAATGCCCTTCCCGGCTTGATTATTTATCTCAAACAGTTCCGAGTTCCAAATTTTAGCACATTGAAATTTCGAGAACACTATTTTCGAAAACCTGGTATCAAATCGTTTACTTTTTTGTTTGCATGTTGAATTGCATGGTTTGATTAATGTGCGTAATTTAGGCCAGTCATGGTCGTACGTCTCCTCATCCTTATCAGTATATCCATGGCGGAAGCATGGGATTGTCGTTTCCGTCTGTATCATATCGCATGCCAGGGTAAGTTTTTGAGGCGACTAGCGGTTATGGCAGCTCCGAATCTCCTACTATAGGCTACAATATCGTACAACCGGTGAAAAAAGACCGCTTCGCGGCCCTTTTCCTCTGGACATCGTCGAGGAACCAAGACTTTAAATCCATTCTTTTTCAGCCTGCGGTGCAAGCGTGATCAAGGCATTCTTTGGCCTGCGGGGCCAGTGACAGCGTGGCACTGCAATTTTTGAACCTGCCGCATTAGTTACCGGTTTTTCTCAAGGAGTAGGCCTGTGGCGCGAAGCCTGGGTCAAGGTACCTTCCTTGGTCTGCGACATTAGGGCCAGCGGGAGCACCGAGCACCGCCTTCTGGTCACTTTGCAAAGCTCGATTTTTACGTCTGAATCTGCTCAAAATTTGTCCAGATAATCCAAGTGCGTGATCACCAACATCGAATACATAAGTTTTCCAAACTTCAGTCCGGAATTCCATCAGGGCTTCGAATTATGGCCCAGACACCACGGCGCTTGGCCCATTTTGCTAAGGAGTTTTTTTAAAAAACTAAATAGAAAATTCTTTTAAACATTTTATTTTACATAATTTAACAAAAACCAAAATCATATATCCATTTTCAAACTACCCTTCAAAAATTCACGCCCAATTCCATTTGGATCGTGAGATATCCTCCATACATACCTTTTTTGGCCGAAATAGAAAGGGTTTTTCACTACGTTGCATGAAAAACCGTTAAATGAAGGAATTTCAAAAAACCAAAAAAATGCGTATAAAGAAGATATGTTTTTCTTATTGGGGCACCCGGTAGAGATCGAATCAGCACGAAACAGACAGATCACTTCGGCTGTAACAAAAACTTTTCCAGGAGGTCCGGATGACAGCGACACAGGATGTCGACTTTACGCACATTTCTACACGAAAAACTGGACTCCCGATAATTTCGAGGAATTTCCGCGCCATATGATCAAGTTTCTAAATGATAGTGACATACTCGCACAACAAAGCCTCGAAGCGAGAAAGCGGAATTGGACGGTAAGCTACTTCTCAGTTAAATTTTCTGATTGACGGTTTTAATGTTTCGGCCGTGATGTGCGGCTACTTGACCTGTACCCAGTGAGAGCGAGAGAGAGAGAGAGAGAGAGAGAGAGCGAGAGAGAGAGAGGGGGGGGGGGGAGAGGGGAGAGATTTTAGCCAGTAAAGGTCCCGCGTCTTATTACTAATTTCCTAATCCGTGACTAGGGAGGGTTCTGAGGTGCCGGAATTGTAGTTTATTCTGTCAGCTACATTACTATGTCTCGGGTGATCGTTGGAAGATGCTGGCGATCGCCATGCTACGGGACGAAGAGCACCCGCAGATCGATGAGGCACATCTGATAGCAAGCGAGCAGAGAACGAAGTTCTACAAGGTCGGTATTTAAATTTGGCGTCAAAACAAGGTAAAATCCGCGAAGCCGCCGCAACGGCCTCTGCTCTCTTTTTTCTGGATTTCCACTTCGTGGACCTGCCCTTCCCCGTGTAAGGCCAAAAATGCGCCAAAAAAGCCTTTATCGACGAATTCTTTTTTGATGATATTGACTTTGCTACTTCTGTGCAAATTTTCAGCTCCGTATTTGCCCTCTTGCTCAAATTTTTGGGGGGGGGGTCTTTTTTTGGGACACCCTGTAGACGCCAGTTTTTTCAAATATAGTAGGATCAAAATGAAATAATATGAAAAAGCAAGAATTCCGTGTGCCCGGTTGCTCGCAGTGGTGAAGGTATTGTTTATTATAGGAGTGGAATGCGAGTCGTCACGACTTTTTGGGCCAAATCACGCCCCCGGAATATACTATGGGGAATTACTCAGACATACAGGATGCATGCAAGAACGTGCGCCCAGAGAAGATTTTGCAGGTATTAGTTGAACTATGCAGTTATCTAAATTTCACCCGGAAACTTAATGCGTTGCTTTTCGTAATCATTGAGGGTTTAGAAGATGCTTGCTACGATTTTCAATTGCCAGGAGTTGCACATCAGCGATATCCAGAAAACGGAGAATTTACTGAGCATATTTGAAGAAATTGAGAAACATCCACAATGGGGTCACGATGAGCGCATTGATGATGTTTTTGTGCATTTTGTAAGAGGTGGGGCGGAATGTTTACAGTTTTCGGGATAATTTTCAGGTGTCGATCCTCATGTTTTGCTTATAGGATATCTAGATGCGCCAGATAAGCCCGACCCGAATGAAACAAAAATTGCCCAAAACACGATCAGAGTTTTGCTAGAATCTGGTAGGGGCCTTTTTACGTTATTTTGGAAGAAAAACATCTAGTGTTTGGGTCTGGGCAAAAGCTGCAAAGAGTCGCTAGCGAGTGTGAAAAATGTGCTCAGCTGCGATATGAGGAACTAAAGGAAGGTATAGCTGCTTATTTGGTAAAAATCACATCTTAGAGTATATTAGTTGGGCAACTGCACGAGATCTGAGCAGCGCAGATTCTGCGATTCGCTTGCAGGACGCTGGGACGTTTTTGCAATCGCGTGAGTGTTTTAGGGCATTTGGGTCACGGCTTTAGTGTACGACATCGAGCGGGATGCCGTCGTGAGGCAGCTACTCGAAAAGATCACTCTAATTCGAAAGTGAGTCATGGTCTCAGCATGCCAATTCGGCAGTAAAATTAATTTTATTTTTTTTAAAGTGGTAGATACCATTTTCGATGTTTTTGCTGTGTTTTTTACACCATCGAAGCTGCGGTCGCCGAGGTCCGGACAACACAGCAAAAACTACTTTACTTTGCCCTTCCTAGCCGGAAGTTCCTGAAAGTTTTTCGATATAGCATTTTTTTACTACATTGTTTTGGGCTGCCAGCTTTTAGTATATTTTTTTGAATCGAATAGCGTAACCAAAATCCCGCCAGTAGCGGAAAGGTCGAAAAAATTGATTTTGGAACGCCCGGCTGTGGGGAGGGTAGAGTAAAGTCCAGCCAATTTTAAACCCATTTTTCTGAGTATCCGGGTAATTTAAAGACAGGTAATTTTAGAGAACCGCCAAGTGACGGCATCTGCATTTTGGACCAGCTAAAATCAGCCGCCTACTTGGATCCCGAAAAATTCATGCCCTTCGCCCGCTCCCTGTTGCAGGATTTGCAAATTGCGGTGAGGCTGCAAACCTCAAAAATTACCTGGAAAACCACGCTGTACATACGTATTTTTTTCAGTATAACAATGCCAATTTGTGTAGCTATCTTTCGGAGGGCGGCTATTACGTGGCGGAGGATGGCGCGTTTGACTTTATGAAAAAGGGCACAATCGAGACGTTACCAGGAATTTATAGAAATATGCGGACGCGACTGGTCAGTTTCTAAGACTTTCCTTAGGCAACCGAGTTTAGGCTTATCTGAAGATGATACGGACCAATGCTCGTATAAGCATATTTCACGGTTAGATTTTCTTAATTCCGCAATATCATGCGAGCTGCCCTTCATGAACAATGCTGAATCGTGTGAAAAATTGTGGGCATTGCAATTTGGTTTTAGGCTTGTAAGCTTTTAGGCTTTCGACTTTATCGACATAACCTAATTTACCAATTTTATGGAAATCTACAAGACGCTCACAATTGGTCTGTTTTTATAAAACGTTTTATACATTTTTTTCAGGATTACTTGGAAATCGTCGGGAGAATCGATCGAATCGAATTGGTTTTATAATTTGACTATATATTTTCCAATAAACAAAGTAATTGTGATAATAAAGCTTTGCGCTGTTAGAACCCTATTCAATAAATATCGAAATATCGATCAAACCGGCTTAGTAGTTTTGAGAATTTTCAAGAGTGCCAACTTTAACCTCCGATAGAGAACCTAGAAAGGCAACTCTTAAAAATTTCAAAACACTGCCACCTTACTAACTCGATGATGCTCTCTCTCTCTCTCCCTTTCTCTCTCTCTCTCTCTGATGGCATCGAAGAAAAAGGATCGAAAAACGGCAACAGGCCTTGTTCGGGTCTTTGACAAACGATCTTCTAATTTTACCGGGCTCCTTTAGCTGGTGAAAATCCGCGTACATACAAAACTCTGACAATCCATGCTCGGATCTATCGCAATCCATCGTTTTATTTTTGTGCAACTTTATTAATTTTGGCATCCGGTAAATACCTTGACCTTTTAGCATCGATCCGGCACGCCCCTTCCAGACGCCCGCGTCCCCGCGAAATGGGTCAGTGCGTCTGGCGTTAATAAAGGGTATCCCAGAAATACCCGGACACTTTTTAAAGCGATTTTTCTCTGTTTTTTTTTTGTTTTCTTTGCACTTAGGTAGATTTTGTCCTACTTTTTGAATCGTTTTGAAAATAGACCTATCCTCGAGTAAAATGTGCGTAATATGTTCCGTCAGTTACAAGATAACCTTGTTCGGTTGCTCGTGCAGGAATCGGACCGTATTTCAAAAAAAAAGCAAAACGGGAAAAGCACGTTTTCACATACCTAAGCGCATCGGAAAATTTTTGAACCCAAATTGTGAGATTGTTATTCAAAAACCGAAAACGATGCGTTAATTGCTGGTGAAAATAATAGCATACGCCCCAACCCCGGTTTTCCGTAAAAACTCCGCCCTTAAAATCTCTTTGTCCGGGAATTTTTGGGACACCCTGTACAAAGTCGGTCCCAATGATCAAAACTAATAAGGGAACCTCGCGGAGACATGGTGGAATTTCGGAAAATCTATTTAGAAAAATCTGACAAGCGCATCGTGATCGCAATAGCCGATTACCCGGGGGTAGCCGCGAGCGTTTTTCCGAAATTCCACCATGTCTCCGTGAGGTTCCCTTGTAAGTTTTTTTTTAGTTTTTCCGGCGTTATGGCGTTCAGAGATAAAATAAATAGTGGGGCTAGTCCTTATAGTCGCGGCTCGTACTGCGTCCTGGCATGTGATTAGGCTAAACCGTTGGCTTTCGCTGCCTATACTTACGCCCAGTGTGAGCCTGAAATGTTTCAGAAAAATGATCTTCGTACGGAATTAGGTATTTACAAATGTTTTAGTCAATTTTGTTCCGTAGTTTCCAAAATAATTTTTTGGGGGTTTGCAACTTTGGGGCCTCTAGAAACCCGAACATATGGTCGAAAACTGTGCAAGGTCAGAATGATGCTGATGTTGGAGGTCATGTATCTATTTACTATAACAATTTTCTTGAGGTGTCTGTCTGTGTGCGTGTGAAACCGAATTCAACTCGCAGGGGGGAAGGAGCTAGGTCTCTTCGGATTTGGATGGTCAGAAACCCGCAGGCTAATCAAGATCAGAATTTTAAAAACTTCATTATTTAGCAGCCGATTTTAGTAGTTTGGTAGTAAACGGGTTTTCGCACGATTTTGGACATAATGAGCCAGGTCGCGCGCGTTCTCATGGTCTCATCCGTGTCTGCGGCTTTATAGAGATGTTTAAAGACTTTTGGCAGGACTTATCTACCAAACCCATATTAATTAAGACCGCCATGATCTCCAGTCTGACAACACTTTTATGGATGGCGACAATAGGAGCTTGCAGTGAGGAACCCATCCGATATTTCGGGAACTGTCTTTCCGTAAAAGGTGAGAGCATTTCCAAATGATTTATTAGCCATCGTCAACAGCTGAACCTATCCTACACGTGCATGATCGTGCCCTGGACATGACCATCGTGCGCACCATGTGCCTATCGGTGTCCTGCACTATCGTATCCTGCATCAGCACTTCCGTATCCTGCACATGGACTTTGTTAGCAGCGTCCCTAAAGCAGTATCGACAAAAAAATAGAATACAGGGTGTCCCAAAAAAATCGACCCCCCTCTAGCGGGCCGCAGTCATGTCCGATTTTGACGATTTAGATATCTATCGAAAGCACTCGAAAAGGCGAGAAAACAAGCACTTTTCGTCTTTCAATATGGGAATTTTAATTCATTAAATTTAGGGCCAAAATCTATGAAAACTGCAGATTTTATGCAAAATCGGCATGTTAATTGCTTGCTAAAGCAAACAGGACGATGCTGGTTTTACGCTTTTTACAGAAATCATTGAATATCGAGCGAAGGCTAAAATTTTTTGGAAAACCAAAGGCGCTTGTTTTCTCACCGTTTGAAGGGCTTTCGAATGGTGTGAAAATCATTCCGATCCGAGCTTTCTGCGGTCCGCTAGAGGGGGGTCGATTTTTTTTGGGACACCCTGTAAAGTGTGGAATAGTTAAAATATTTGTTTAAAATTATTACCCTGACCCCGCCTCAAGGTCCGCATTGGGTCTGAACCTCTAAGTCGACGAAAATTCGCGCGGAAGAGAACCGGTTACTTTCCTATTTCAAATTACAGATGATTCCGGCTGCCACCTGCACTCTGATTTTTATAAATCAAATTGGACGAAGGAAGACCTCGGCAAATTGCCGGAACATATCCTAAGCTTCTTCAACCATAGCGACACCATAGCTGAGATCATCTTGCGGGCGCGGCGCGACAAGCTTGGGGTCAGTTTCGCACGCTATCGACTTGCTGCTGGTTTTATTTTGGCAAACCGTTGAGTTGGCCGTTTAAATAGGGTCCCAGCGCCGGCCGGTCCCGAACGTATCTGGTTTAAGCCAGTTCGGCGCAGAGTCGGTCCGATGGTCCATTAGTCCGCAGGAACCGCCGGGGCTGGCGGGCTGGTCCAATCGAAAAAGGTTGATCATCCAACCCTAGAATGTCGATTGGTAATAATCTCGTTTTACAGAATCTCGAACGGCCGTATAGCCGTGAAAACCATTTAGATTCAGGCACAGTAATGACTAAATTTTTTCAAGCTAGCTTCTGGAAACCGCCCGTGATGATTAGATCGATCTGGAATCCCCCCCACCGGAAGTTTTTCGCTATAACTTTTCTATTTTACACCAAAGCCGCCTCGCGGCTTTTCAACCCTGGGCCCGTCTAAATCCCATATTACTTCCTTTGCATAATTGGCAACTGCGATGAGAAACACTGAGAAGTGCTCCCTCTCTCCCATTAAATAGGCTATCGCCACTTCCCGCGTATGCTCATTATTTCCTAGCAAAGAGCTCGCCCGATTTTTCAACAAAAACTTAATTTTAACGTCGAAAATAGCATAAATTACAAAATCTGGTATGCGTGCAGTCATCTCGGTGCCATTAGGCACCTAATGGCGTATCATACGTAGCTAAAACCCTTCCCCTCTTGAGCTATCCTCCGGACGCGGTGACGGAAGTTGCATGCAAATGCACACTGACACACAAACACTACTTTTTTATATATAGTAGGATTATTGTCGAGTCAAATGAAAATTCTGAGTACATCTTTGACGCTTTATCGAATGGCGTTGCAAAAATCCCGACAAAAATGGCGAAAATACCGAAAGCTTTGAGACCCTTCTGGTGTGGGGGGAGGGAAGTAAAGTCTTACGGTCCAGATTTTGTCGGTCGAGATTCTCATCCGAAAACGAAAAGAGTGAGTAGGGTGCCTATCTGTCTGCCCTATCCCCTTCCTCAATCACGATCAGATCGGTCGGTCGGCGTGGGCTGGCTCGCCCTTAGGACCCGTTTGGACCCGCTAATCACGTGACCGAATCCGACCGAATCCGTATACAATAAAAAATATTAAACATCTACTGCTTGCAATTATCACTGTTCTGTTG